CAACACCCCCAGTTGTACTACCCTCAGGCTCAGCACCCCGAGGCGTAGCACCCATACGCTCAGCACCCCCAAAGTCAGCACCCTCAGGCTCAGCACCCTCAGCAGCACCAGAGTCACCAGCGACCTTGACAGGCTCGACAACGTCTACGTGGGACACACTTGAAGGGTCAGGACCCTGAGGGGGGAGGGGGTCTACTTGGGGGGCTCCTGGCACAAGGAAGAGCCGTGGCGGGGGGACGGACGGAGTGCGGTAGGGGAAGAGACGGTAGTAGGGGACCGACTCGTCGAACGTGACGTCCTGGGAGGACAGAACACGGTGAGAGGTGGGGTGGTAGAACTGCCACCCTGGCGCGTCAGGGGGGAAACCCAGGAAGACGCAAGGAGCAGCACGAGGGGACAGCTTGTCCGCAGACAAGTCGCGAACAAACGCCCGAGATCCCCAGACACGGAACGCAAACGCAGCGCCAACAAAATCAGTATACACAGAACCACGAATGCTGACTTGGACACCTGTTTGGCACGGGCAAACTGATCCATCAGCATACCCTTAAACCAATCTGAGGGCCTGTTCATTAGCAATATGCAAACAAGCTAGAGATATATGCGTATAAGCACGGATGTGAACGACGAGTGGGTTGGGAGCCACATATAAACTATTATTTACATGACTTGTCACACAGGTTGAAGCTCCTCTACCATGTAGCCATGGCTATCATCTTGGATTATAAGCTCAAAATTGTTGTTGTGGTAGATAATAGATGGCATGAACGGGAGATTTGGTACTGAAGGACCAGTCAAACTAAATCATGTGCATATGCATTTGAGCGTGGTATCAACCATTACCTCAATGCACACCACAATTATCATGCTCGCATTTGCAAGGGAGTCGTTAAGGTCCGAAAGAAACTTGGCTATACATGTATTCTCACATTACACGACGATGCCAATGTTGGTTGAACCGCACCACTACGTTAGGAACCCACTATCACACATGAACACTAAGTACTATGGGCCATGATCAGCTCGTCTCCAACAAGATGAGAAATGCATGACTTGGCATAGCCTAACAGTAAGCATACGGGTTGAGAAGCTTCAATGTCGGACGTGTGAACGAGGTGATGATGTGCTCTGCTCGATTGATATCTGTCAGGTTGATGACCTTGTACGTGGCAACGTGGCGACCCACACCCATTTTGGTCGAGAACGTTTCATCATCCACACCGCGCTCCTCAAAAATGGGCACGAATGCCAGCGGAACCTTTTGCGGGCTTTCGTCGCACCCATGAATCATAACATGAAATAACATCAGCAGCTGGGCGTAGGTGGGGGTGGTTGTGCTGGTGGCTGAAACATTCGTACGTGGTTTCAAGGACACGTAGGAGAACCAGGGGGAACCATAGAACATGGGGCTTGCACGGGTATAATGAACTTCAACACCTGTTTGTGGAGGTAATGCTACAGCAGAGTGCACCTGCAAGGTGATGGGAAGGGGGATGAGTTTTATGGCTTCGCAAAGGGTCTGGGAAGCCCAGTTGAATTGTTGACGACTGAATATGCCAACAACGCTAGCACTTCCAAAAATTGTGTTGTTTGAGTACCCCACATAAGTGAGTGCCTGCCCGATAAGGTCGATGTTGTTCCCATGAAGTGCCCGGTAGTTGTTCCACAGATCGTCCCCACGTCTTGCCTCAACGATGTGGGGCAAAGTCACTACCGTGGATGTGCTGGTCAACACAGCATGGCCAAGTGCTGCATCCTGTGGTTTAGGGAGAATCGGTAACTTGGAGAGGACTGAATGGTCTGAGTGATGATGGGAGATGAGTGGCACATGCTAGAAAGGATGCCATGTGTGTGAGGGTTAGGGGAAGATACGAGGATGTGGGTGAGAGGCCAAAGAGGAGTTGGGGATGTGGGTTGAACGGGTATGGGGGTGTGAGCCAGAGATCAAAATGAGGATGTGAGTGAGAGGCAGAGGTGAGGTTGAGGATGTGGGTTCAAGCATGTAAGAATGAGAATGGGGGTAAGATGCAGAGGTGGGACTGAGTAAGGCTGTGTGATGCAAAGGAGGGAATGAGTAAGTGGGTGTGAGGCTAATGTGGGAATGGGGAAAGGTGTGTGAGGCAGAGGTGGGAAAGAGGAGGTAGGTGTGAGGCAGAAGTTTGAATGAGTAGGTGGGTGTGAGGCAGAGGTTAGAATGAGTATGGGGGTAAGATGTAGAGGTGAGAGTGAGTATGGTTGTGTGAGGCAGAGGTGGGAATGAGTAAGTGGGTGTGAGGCTAAGGTGGGAATGGGGAAGGGTGTGTGAGGCAGTGGTTGGAAAGAGGAGGTGGGTGTGAGGCAGAAGTTAGAATGAGTATGAGGGTGTGAGGCAGAGGTTAGAATGAGTATGAGGGTGTGAAGCAGAAGTTAGAGGGTGAGCAGAGGGTGGATAAATGGGATGTAGCAATGCAACATCAAGAGGTGAGGGCTATAAGCATATATCGATGCATTGACAGGCCATCTAACACTTATAAACATAGGGTTTCATATGCATTCAACCAAAACATAAACAAAGAGCTATGGATCACCTAAGACGAACGGGAAGGTAAGTAGAACAAGATGGGATGAATATGGGGATAGGGCGCAAGCGAGTGGGTTAAGCGTGCTTATATTACCTTGGCAGCGGCTGTTTGTTTTGGTCTGGGGGCAGATAATGCACTTTGAATACTCAAAATGGCGCTGCGCACAACACATGTATGCATGATGGCATCTTCAAAGTCCCGATAGTTCGACGCTCGGAATGAACGCTTGCACGTAGCGGCATGTGCATGCTCAAACGGCTGGGTTGAGAACTCGGCCGGAATACCCCGACTTCTGATTGCTTCAGGGAAATGCAGCAGGGCATGCACTTTCACAAGCTTGTACCCGTAGCCATCCCGGGGAAGACACGTTTTCAGCAACCGTACGAGCCTGGAACGGGCCATCAGATGAGCAACAGAGCAAAACGGCATCCGTCAACATAGTGGACAGCCAACATAGCACCCTTAGATTAACCCCTTGTAGTTCCATCCTATTGGATGTATGATGGGATGTGGAGGGTATGGAGAGTATGGCTTGACAAACATCACTCACTCTTTGGTGTCGACCAAATATTGACGCAGAAGCGACTCGGTGTACTTCAAGACACGACAGTAGTTGTGGTACCATTTCACAAAGAAACGAAGCGCCTCCATTTTCACGTTTGGTATTTGTAAACCCTCCATAATGAGAAGGACCACCTGCATCATTACAGTGTACACATCACTGAGGTGACAACCAAATATTTGCATCAGATTTTGGCACTTGAAAGATTGCCAAAAAGAAGTCACTAAAACTAGTGCAAGTCAAAATCTGCGCCTAACAGTCCATCATACCCGGATCATGTTGTCATGCTCGGCAGCGGAGAAGTTTGCCCCCGGTCTGAAATAGCGCCCATCCGGTGGTACATGGAACCTCCAAAATCTGTCATCTCGACGAAGGACTCCTACCCGCCTGCCCATGTACACGCTAGCTCGATGAGTATTTGAATGGACAAAAAGGAAACCAAGACCACTGAGATCATGATTAATACGCACCTGTTCATCTCGCGAACGTTCTCTCCCTTCACGAGGCCCTCGAGGACGTACATCCACAAGCCGATTAGTATGGCGTGCAACACATCCGGTGGTACAGCTAGGTATGGATTACACCATGGCTCATGTACCTCCTTCCCACGACCAAACTTTCAAAGAATGGACTGCCAATATCAAATGAGCGATGAATATGCAATAACGAGATTGTTAAGTCCCCAATAGTTTGGAACCCCGCTTCCCATCACCTGGTAGCGTTGCAATCACCACCTATCCTGTTCAACCCATGACAATCCATTCTCTAGCATGGCATTATCCATCCCTACTCTTGCTGGCCTAGTCGAGTCTCGAGAAGGCACCTTCACCCTAGCCCAACTCCCCCTTTCCCCCTTCTGCCCTCCCTCATTCCGCCCCCAACCCCTCCTTCTCACGCACTGTTTCCATATTTCCCCAACCACCTCGCCCGTGTCGGAGTTCCTCCACTCCCACACCAGACACGCCGTCCATTTCCACTCTTACCATCCTACCCCATGAGTATTTTGACCAGCCATACTTTCCATGACGAATAAGCCACCTACACCCCTTGTAATCCCTCATCTGCCCTTTCAAATATTCTGCCACTTGCCAATCTCTTCCCACCACCTATCTCACGACTCCCACCATACCCATTACCCCAGCCCCAAAATCATTGTTGCCCAGAATCCCTCCAAGCCACCAACTCACTGGTGATTTGTGGGTCGAGTAGTCTTCTCTTGTTTTTTCACCGGCCTCCTGAGCTAGCCAGGTTTGCGTCTTCACATCTCTCGGATGGTTTAGAGTAGGGTCCATCACATCCAAGTTGTCCTTGTGCACATAGCACTGTGAGCACGGACTGTTTGAGAAGTGTTGCATTGTAGAAGTCACCCGAGAGCCCTCGGGGTAATCGGTGATCCACGAGAAGAGCTTAGGCCACACGGTGAATACGTTGCCGTATGGATCCGTCAAGGGCACGGACCTGGATGAATAGAAAGGGAGTACATATCGAATAAGACGGTTAATATACCTGGATATATGTTACAATGCCATTTAGCCACACACCGTAAAATACCATGCCATGGAAGGATTTTCAACCTACCCGTTGCATGCAGCAATGATCTTTTCAAGAACAATGTCGACACATTTTTGGTAGAGCTCCACCTTCTGTGCGGGTTCCATATCTGAGTCGCCGATTGGGAGAAGGGCCACCAAAGCCCTCCCATGTTCGGTCCACCGTAGGTGAAGTGGTATGTTGGTGCAGCCCAAGTACAATGGCCATGCCTTCAACCGCTCATTTCCACTCAAGAGTGTCTCGTCGCTTGCCACGATGAGGGGGCAAACCAGCTCGTCATATGATAATCCCTTCTACAATTCATCAGCACATTAACACTGTTAGCGCTAACAAAAACATGTCCCCACCATCGCTGCCACCTCCTCATCTCCCCATTGCATCACACACACCTCCTCATCTCCCCACTGACTCACACACACACCCTCATCTCCCCACTGACTCACACACACCTCCTCATCCACATCTCTGCCTCACACCCACCTCCTAATCTACATCACTGCCTCACACCCACCTCCTCATCTACATCACTGCCTCACACCCACCTCCTCATCTACATCTCTGCCTCACACCCACCTCCTCATCTACATCTCTGCCTCACACCCACCTCCTCATCTACATCTCTGCCTCACACCCACCTCCTCATCTACATCTCTGTCTCACACCCACCTCCTCATCTACATCTCTGCCTCACACCCACCTCCTCATCTACATCTCTGCCTCACACCCACCTCCTCATCTACATCTCTGCCTCACACCCACCTCCTCATCTACATCTCTGCCTCATGCAAATGGACTGTGCCACTGTGTCTTCCATTCTCGACATACATACCTGCGCCTCCTCCCATAACGTTCCTGTCTCTGCCGCCCCATAAACCCTGTCCTCTCCTTCATATGTTGGTGCTGCTCTGTGTACGAAACCTTTAGCATTCCTCGGGTCTGCCCACAGCCGCCGTAGCGCCTGCAGTGGCAGTATGAGAGCCTTAATACTTTGCAACAAAAGCTTATGAAATGGGCTCATGTACGCTGCCTGGAAGCATGAACATTGTACCTCCAGAGGGTCAATGAACTTCAGAATGAAGACAGTGGGCCACCCATCCACACGAACTTCCACTGTGATGTACTTGCGCTTCTCTATACCCAAGATCTCCAACGCATACTTGTCAATCGCGTATTTCCCATTCCAGTCCCATAGTGCGTTGGGATCGAAGCCCTTGTTCTTCACGAGGCGGAAGAAGTATGCAATGTCACTCTCGCACATCCCCATTCCCTTGTTGCACTGAGCCATGAAGCGGTATGTCTCGCGGCGCGTGTCAAACACTGGTACGGTTTCGTCCTCGTTCAAGTCCGCAAAAAACTGACTTCCAGCGAATTCTCTCGTCACGCCAGGGGTGTTGTCATTGACGAATATCGGTGGAGCATTTTGCTCACCTTGAGAAGAATTGAACGAGAATGGAATGAGTATGAACGAAGTGAGTACAAATAGGAAACCCTAATTGTGTTGTACCCCCTATGGGATACCCCACTATAGCCTACACAAACAAGTAAGCTATATGTTCTGACACACCCCCATAGGCAAAGTGGGGGAGAACAAGGGGTCACAAGACCAGTCAAGCAAAGCAAAGCAAAGCTCAGGGTGGATCACAAAGTCACCACGCATTCCGAGCACAAGTTCAAAGGCCACAAGGCCAGTTCACATGCAAGATCATATATAGAGGTATACAAGAGTCAAGCAAGCAAGAGCAAGAGTATATATATGCGAAGGTACAAGCAAGGTCAAGAGGAGAGCAAGTGAGGCAAGACAGGCACAAGACCCAACTGCGTGCAGCAACGCTGATGATCACAAGGCGCAAGTGCCTTGGTGAAGACATCAGCAGTGTTGGCCTCAGAGGCCACGTACGCAAGTCGCAGCTGTCCACGCTGCTGTAGCTCACGAGCAAGAAAGTAGCGAAGAGCAATGTGCTTCGTTCTGTGCTCCAGTCGCTGCTCTCGACACAAGGCCAGCATGGCCTTGTTGTCTACGTACAGGACTGGAGGAGAACGAGGCTGCTCTCCAAGGTCGGTCAGCAGGTAGGTGAGCCAGCGTAACTCCTGTGCAGCCATAGCCCCAGCGTAGATCTCAGCCTCACAACTGGAGCCGAGAACAGAAGACGAGCGGGTAGCCCGCCACGAGACAGAGCCGGAACCAAGGCTGAAGGTGTAACCCTGTGACGACCGCTGCGTAGCCTGGTCGTCAGCCCAAGAAGCGTCTGCGTGCCCAGTGAGGACCACTGGACTGCGCCCTCCAAGCACTAGCCCCATGCCCGACGTACTGCACAAGTAGCGCAACACCCTCTTCGCTGCAGCCATGTGCTCTGGTCGGTGTCTCCCAGGAGCAACAAAGCGTGCGAGAATGCTAAGAGGGTATGCGAGGTCAGGTCGTGTGCAGGTCATCAGGTACATGAGGCAGCCAACAAGCTCTGCAAACGGGCCACTCGACTCTACGGACTCATCCGAAGGCAGAGCTGAGAGCGAGTGGCGAGTAGGCAGAGGAGTGGCCTGAGGCGAGGAGTACGTGAAGCCGAAGCGCTGAAGGACCTGCTGCACCATGTGTGACTGAGTCAGGGTAATGGTGCGGCGTGCTCTGTCCCGGGTGATCTGCAAGCCAAGGTAGCTGCGCAGTTCACCTAGGTCAGTGCACGTGTGTCTCTTCTGCAGCTCGGACTTCACGTAGGCGAGTCCAGCAGTGTCAGCTGTGGCAAAGACCAAGTCGTCGACGTACACGAGGATGTAGAACGGCGGCAGAGAGGTGTCGGTGCGCAGAAACAGCGACGGGTCGGCAGTGGAAGGAGCAAACCCAAGTGTCGCGAGCGTAGTCCTCAGTGTGTCGTGCCACTCACGTGGCGCCTGGCGGAGACCGTAGACTGGACGCCGGAGACTCCACTGGGTACCAGGAGGGAAAGACCCAGTGAAGCCAGGTGGGCGACGCAGCCAGATCTCCTCGTGCAGGCTGCCCTGCAAGAAAGCTGTGCTGAAGTCGAGAGAGTGCAGCTCGTAGTCACGGTGAGCAGCAACGTGCAGCAGAACCCGAAGATTGGTCATCTTCGGGGTGGGGGAGAAGGTCTGAAAGTAGTCAACCCCCTGCCGCTGACTGAAGCCACGAGCCACGTAACGCGCCTTGAAGACAGGCGGAGAACCCGGCGGCCGCTTCACCCTGAAACTCCCACATCGCCCGCGCTCCCCGGAGCGTTTAGTGGTGGATGGGCATGCTGCACTGTAGACGGTGGCGGGACCAGCACACTGGGTCGCGGAAAGTTAATCGTACCGAACCGTGCGCGCTTTCGGATACATTCTTCGTTGCCACGTTCATGGTTTGAAACGCCGCCCTCTGTGTCAAACGTCGCTTCACAGAACATGCATCCGTAGTGAGACATTTCCCGCATGCAAAACAAAACGACATGTCGGTAACATGAGAATTGGACGTGCACTAGAATGTACTTCCCGTACTTCACTAGAAGTGCCTTACGTACTTCACTCCTTACTAGCGTCGAACCTCAACACGTTACACCAGTGTGTGTTGTTTTACGGTTGTTAGACCAAGTATTTGTAAACTCACCGTGATTGTCGTGATTACTAGACTGATATGTAGCAGGATGTGAAACAACCTAGCCATCATGCTGGCTGAGGCAACATTTGAGTGGTGTGAAGCTGCCTTTGTTGCTAGTTAGCACGGATTTGGTCAGAGCCTTTATAATCCGTCGAGCAGAGGTGAGTCGGTCAGGCGGATTGGGTGGGAGGGGGGTTTGTTCTGGCAATCAGGAGATGAACAGCGTCTGTAGCGCTCAAATTGCCACGCTCCCCAATTTCCGAATTTGAATGTACGCTACATCGGGAGTATGCAGCGCGATGTTACGACTCGGTGGTTTGAGAATACCTTGTTGAACAGAAATTTGATGAAAAATATGTACACCGTCAAATGGGAGTTTTTGTCAGGCAATACAAGAGTGTAAATGTGGCTTAAACTATAACCCTCTTCTACATACGATGTAGCATGTGGCTTCACATAAACTGGTATATTGTGTCCTGCTCATAAAATATAGATTAGAAAGATTTGCACCACCTGCCAATATCCATGCAAGCAAGCCATCTGTGGACGCGTATTCACATTCAACGACGCAGGGACATATGATTGTTTCCCCCACACAGAAGTCCTCTGTAGCATATGATCCCTCGGCATTTACGGAATCCGTGCAAACAGGGAGTAAGGGCAAGTAACGGCCATCCACTCTCACAAATGAGAGGTACCTAAGAGCACCCGTGCGGATAGGGGTCTGAAAGCCTCAACAATGCCTGTATATTGTGGGCATTAACAGAGATTTGATCCAGGGTTGCATGTTGTAACAAGAAACAGTGTAAGTATTGACGGCAGACACAATCAGGCTTACGAATGGAAAGCAATGCGTCACATATCTCCTCCAGCTGGCCTATAATCCCGCCTCCTTGCTATGCAATTGGCCATGCCGCTCAGTCACACTGAATTCGTGGCCACTCCTTCATCCTATTAATCAGCCCATAGGCTACGTCCATGTGGTCGGGTTTCCAACGGGTGACACAAGCGTGCAGCAGGGCGCTTATCTATCTCACGAGTGTGCGAGCAACCCATGTTGGCCTACTACAAGCCTGAGAACCGATTGCCATTAGAGGTCACGGCGCAGTGGCTTTCTGGGCTTTACTTCCTGTGGATGTTGCCGTGGTGTGTACTGATGATTCTAGGCCGGATGGTGGGTTACAATAAGAGAGTAAGCGGGAGGTGAACATGTAATGCTAACTACAAGCTGAGTGATTACGTTGTTGAATTATGAGAAGCTAAGGAAGAATCTATAGATGAAGCTGAGAGATAGAGCTGTCGAAAAATGGGAATAAAGGAGGGGGTTGCTGAGTGTGAAGCACAGCGGGGTGTGTGAGGTGAACCATGAGAGTGAAATTGTGGATCTGAACCCATGCCAACCAACGAAATGTGCCAGGTGGGCTCGACTTGCGGGATTTCAAGCAGCATCTGCTTCGAACACGTGTCGACTCGAAAGTGTGTTGGGCGTTTTTGGGCCAATAGACGACCGTTCGTCGCGACCATCCAACCCCTTGAATGCACATATACGAACCTCAAGATTACAAGCTGAGGTGGATCGTTTCCCCGTTGTCGAGTGCCTCTCAAAGTCGACATGACGTGCCAAAGTGTGTTACATGGTGGCATGGCAGGCGTAAATCAGATGAGAGATTTAGATTCTGCAAATTTCAGACAAGCCCCTGACGAAAACATGATGCGACAGCAGAGTGTCGTTTCGAACACCAGGCGTTGGTTTGCAAGCCATCGCCTGGGTATGCCGGAGAAAGAGAGGAAAGCACGTGTGACTGAATAAATCCTTCACAGAATCGAGCAAACATATGCGAGGCCAATCATGTGAATACCTTCCATGTACGTTCTTGTAGTTGGCGCGGCGCAGAAACTCTATCCATGGGAAAGGCTAAGGTGAATGTGAAAATGCATCGCGGAGAAACGGACGACTTTTGTCTTCCCCATTTTCCCCTTCCCGTCGTCCCCATTTTCCCCTTCCCGTCGTCCCCATCTTCCCCTTCCTATCGTGGCCATTTTCCCCTTCCAATCGTCCCCATTTTCACCTTCCAGTAGTCCCCACGTTCCCTTCCGGCCGTCCCCGCTTTCCCATTCCCGTCGCCCCCACCTTCAGCTCCCCGTCGTCCCACCTTCCCCTTCCCGTCGTCCCACCTTCCCCTTCCCGTCGTCCCACCTTCCCCTTCCCGTCGTCCCACCTTCCCCTTCCCGTCGCACCTATTTTCCCCTTCCCATCGTCCACATTTTCCCCTTCCAATCGTCCACATTTTCCCCTTCCAATCATCCCCATTTTCCCCTTCCAATCGTCCCCATTTTCCCCTTCCAATCGTCCCCATTTTCCCCTTTCCAATCGTCCCCATTTTCCCCTTCCAATCGTCCCCATTTTCCCCTTCCAATCGTCCCCATTTTCCCCTTCCAATCGTCCCCATTTTCCCCTTCCAATCGTCCCCAATTTCCCCTTCCAGTAGTCCCCACGTTCCCTTCCCGTCGCACCTTCCCCGTCCCGTCATCCCACCTTTCCCCTTCCCGTCGTCATGAATAAGGTAAGTGCGAGGCACAACGAACCTTCTCCATTCGGCTCCTCAACGCACTCAGCTCTTCTTCTCCCTAAGGATACTATTTGTTATGCACATACACACGCCCATCTCCACTTCCCTCCATTCCGCTACCCCCAACTCAGTTCCCACGTCTCCCTTTTCCGTCCACACCCCCGGTCCACTTACTCCCAACTCACAGCTCACTTTTCCTCCTTCTACCACTTACTCTTAGCTCACATCTATGGCTCCCACACCTAAACCCACCTCACTTCTCCATCACCACTTACTCTCATCTCACCTCCCCAACCACCATTCTCCCGTTCTTCGATCCTCATCAACTCCCGCCCACACATCCTCATCCCTCCCCCCCCCCCCCCCCCCCCCCAATTCTCCATTACCCATCTCCTCCCGTCCACTTGATGTCATCTCTATCCGTTCCCCCGGTGTCACCCCCTCCAACCCCAAACTCGTCTTCCCCTCTGCCTCCCCTCGCTGTCCCTTTCGGATCCTCCCATCATCTCCCCCTTTGCCTCACCTCAATTCTCCCTCTGCCTCCCATCATCTCCCCCTTTGCCTCCCCTCAATTCTCCCTCTGCCTCCACTAATCCTCCCCTCTGCCTCTACTCATCCTCCCCTCTGCCTCCACTCATCCTCCCCTCTGCTTCCACTCATCTGCCCCTTTGCCTCAGATCATCTAACCCTGAGTATCTCCTCAAATACGAACCGCGCTTGGGTGAATAGTGCTGACGGCGCGGCAAGGAACATAGGCGACAACAATGTGGAAGGCACGCCAACCACCGTGGTTTGCAAACGTGGCACCTTGGTTATATGTGGAAAATATATGAGTTCTTTGAAGTCAGCCAAAACTATTCTAAACATTACCGCACCCATCGTGACTCCCTGCACTCACACTCCATACACCCATCAAGACTCGCTGCGTCGAACATCTCCCTCTCCTCTCCCCTGCTCCTCCCCCTCCCATTCCCCCCCCGGTCCACCGTACGATTCTGGAACATCCATGCACTGACAGGCGACACCGGCGCGCACAAAACCCACTCTCCTGTCGTGGGCAGGTTGATTGGAGGCAATCGCAACACCTCCACTATCCCTGACACCGTCACCACCCTCAACTCTATGCTCGCTCTGTACGCTCCATGCTTGAGAGCCTTAGTCGACACCATGTACGGGAGCACTCTGACAAAGCTGGTTGTACTAGCGAATAATCATATTTTCTTCTCATCTACCCCGGTGCACTGAACCTCTCCGCTTCCACTCTGAACCTCTCGTGATTTCCTCTTCCCTTCCACTCTGAGCCTCTCGTGATTTCCTCTTCCCTTCCACTCTGAACCTCTCGTGATTTCCTCTTCCCTTCCACTCTCAACCACTTGTGATTTCCTCTTCCCTTCCACTCTGAACCTCTCGTGATTTCCTCTTCCTTTCCACTCTGAACCTCTCGTGATTTCCTCTTCCCTTCCACTATGAGCCTCTCGTGATTTCCTCTTCCCTTCCACTCTGAACCTCTGTGATTTCCTCTTCCCTTCCACTCTCAGCCACTCGTGATTTCCTCTTCCCTTCCACTCTGAACCTCTCGTGATTTCCTCTTCCCTTCCACTCTGAACCTCTCGTGATTTCCTCTTCCCTTCCACTCTGAACCTCTCGTGATTTCCTCTTCCCTTCCACTCTCAACCACTCGTGATTTCCTCTTCCCTTCCACTCTGAACCTCTCGTGATTTCCTCTTCCCTTCCACTCTGAACCTCTCGTGATTTCCCTGCCCTTACCCTCCTCGCATCCCTGTTGTGCCCCTGCTCTGCTCCCCGCCCATGTGGTATCCCCGGCCCCATCTCTCCTCTGCACTCTTCTCCCTCGATTGCAAGATAGCAGACCCTTCTGGAACTCACTTGTCTGCTGTGCCCTTCCTCTCTCCTTCCCCCCGCCCAGCACAGATGTGAGATAGAGATTGTTTATGGGGCCGCTCCCGTAGCCTTCACATTGCCAACCCACCGTCACAACCTCCTCTTGACCTATCCGGCAACTTCCTCTACTCCCCCACCACTTCCTACTCTGCTCAAACCACCACAACTACCCCCCCAACATAGTCAATCAACAGCACAGCAACACCAATGCCTCGTGGATCCTCATCGAGTGTGTTCCCCTGTCCTGCCCCTGCTCTGCTCACATACCTCCTTTCCTCTCCTGCCTTTACACCCTCTTGCGCCTCTCTGCCTCCAAGCGCTTCCACCTCCCATGGACAACACCAACGTGCACAAAAGATGTGAGCCGCTGCCTGCCTTCCCTCCTGCCCTCCCCCCAACTTCCCCTTTGCCTCCCCTTATCTTCCCCCCTATCTTCATCCATCCTCACCTCCGCCTCCCCTCATCCTCCCCTTTGCCTCTCCTCATCTCCCCTCCGCCACCCCTCATCTGTGAAGCGCACCTGGGGTGATAGAGATGACAGCGCAGCTAAAAATAGAGGCGACATCGATGCAGGGGACGATGGGGAAGTGAAACCATGGAGACCCTGAGCATAGCACAAGAATAGGCCTGGCTAGATACGTGATGTGGAATTCTGAAACAAAGTTTATGTTCGGAGTTTCCGTAAGGCCCCAAAGTGAAGGAAAATATGCTACACACCACCATCTCAACGTTGAAACCGCACCATGCCGTCCGCATGCCAATCCTCATATGCCTTTTCACGTGCTATTGGTCAGATACATTTATATACCAGTAAGGAGTCTGGACCGCACCATAATGACACTACTTTGAACTTTTGAAAAAACTTACATATTGCAGCCACAAGCCACGAGAAACAGTGCGGAGCTGAAAGTAGACAACGCTTGAGATATGGATTGTCGTTTCAGCTCCGGACTGTCCTAACACGAACCCTCTAACACACTTGCTTTAACCCTATTTTAAACGCCCATGACTTTCTCGACGTTGTGTTCTTTCATTTGCCTGTTCGTGCAACACATTCTCCAACAGAAAGTCATGAAGGTTATTTTTATAACCAATTCAATATAAACCCTTTCTACAAAAGAGAATGAAACCCTGATAGCACTCCAAAGGTGTACATACAGACACCTAATCCCAGCGTGCGGTCTGTGTTTCTGCTGGAGCGCACTGAAACTTGCGCTCCTGGCAAGCCGCTCTGTCTAGGCGTTTCGGAAGCGCAACCCGTTTCCCCGCAACGCCCAATCTGACGGGGCTTGTGCAGGTTCTGAAACTGGCGGAATGTTTTGCTCCCCGGCTGCCTGTCTAAACAGTCACTTCCGTTAACCTTAAGTAACGCGATCGAGTTCCTAGTAACCCTAACAACTTGAGAGTTCCTGTTTCACGATACTCTGGCTGGACGCTCGGGGGAGGGATAACACAACCTCATTCGTCGCTTAGAACTTAGAAACCTGTTAGACATGAATAGTAAGGGTCTCCATAGACCACGCCTTCAACAAACCCGTGTATCTTCCCGTTTTTTGCACGTTCAGCAATCCTAAGCAAGGAAACCATGAATCCAGCGGTATGTTCCGTGGGTCCTGGACGACGACCTCGCATATGGACCGTCGGATCTGACAACCGTGCATGATTGACGGTGGTAAAACTATCAGGTGTGACTGTAATGTATGAACACCCACAAGGCCACTGTGCTTCCACCGATATGCAGGACGATGTGGCTTGAGTGGTCAATTTTCACACCCCTCCACCCACCTCTACATGACGCCCTTCATTCAATTGTTGATGGCAGCACTCCTCCCCATCAGTTTCTTGCATTAGGGTTTCAAGTGCAAATTGTACTGCTCTGAACGATACCCTTTCTTAGCTTGCTGCTATTCATCCGTCAAACAATCATGGTGACTTACAATAGCATGAAGTAGCAGGAAATATGTTTTATTTTTGGTGTCTTAAAGAGCTGCTGCACAACTGATCTCTAAGCCATAACGACGCTGCTCATTGTGGTTTCGCCACTATGATGCAAGTGGCTGCTGGAAACGTCATTACATCAAATGGTCGCGGCCGTGGTGGACGTAGAGGCGGAAGCCAGGGAGGGCGGGGTGGAAAAGGACCGCCGGAACCCCTCCCAGAAGGTGTGGCTAATCAATGAGTGTGCCTTTTGTTGCCTTCGAAATGCCCAGTTACACCTTTGCAACGACTATGAGTAGTCCGCGTGATAAGCATAGTTTCTAACACGTTACATTGCTTGTGTGAACATTGCTTTTTGCACATTGCTTGCAAGAAGCCGTGGATGGAAGCCCTTGGACTACGTGATGGAGAATGCCAAGAACACCACGTCCCAATCGGACCCAGAGGACACAAGTGGACATGCTCCAGTGATGGCGACGACCGAGACACAACAACCACGTGTGCAAAATGCAGCCAAAAGCCACGTGTACAAGACTCGTAGTAACAAGCCATCTGTTGGCGCCACTGCCTTCACTTCTGGCCAGCAGCTGCACTCTACTGCTGCTCCCGCAACTGCTGGCGCCACCAACTTCACTTCTGGCCAGCAGCTGCACTCTACTGCTGCTCCCGCAACTGCTGGCGTCACCTCCTTCACTTCTGGCCAGCAGCTGCACTCTACTGCTGCTCCCGCAATTGCTGGCGCCACTGCCTTCACTTCTGGCCAGCAGCTGCACTCTACTGCTGCACCCGCAACTGCTGGCGCCACCGCCTTCACTTCTGGCCAGCAGCTGCACTCTACTGCTGCTCACGCAACTGCTAGCGCCACCGCCTTCACTTCTGGCCAGCAGCTGCACTCTACTGCTGCTCCCACAACTGCTGGCTCCACCGCCTTCACTTCTTGCCAGCAGCTGCACTCTAATGCTGCTCCCGCAACTGCTGGCGCCACCGCCTTCACTTCTGTCCAGCAGCTGCACTCTACTGCTGCTCCCGCAACTGCTGGCGCCACCGCCTTCACTTCTGGCCAGCAGCTGCACTCTACTGCTGCTCCCGCAACTGCTGGTGCCACCGCCTTCACTTCTGGCCAGCAGCTGCACTCTACTGCTGCTCACGCAACTGCTGGCGCCACCGCCTTCACTTCTGGCCAGCAGCTGCACTCTACTGCTGCTCCCACAACTGCTGGCTCCACCGCCTTCACTTCTTGCCAGCAGCTGCACTCTAATGCTGCTCCCGCAACTGCTGGCGCCACCGCCTTCACTTCTGTCCAGCAGCTGCACTCTACTGCTGCTCCCGCAACTGCTGGCGCCACCGCCTTCACTTCTGGCCAGCAGCTGCACTCTACTGCTGCTCCCACAACTGCTGGCGCCACCGCCTTCACTTCTGGCCAGCAGCTGCACTCTACTGCTGCTCCCGCAACTGCTGGCGCCACCAACCTCAATTCTGGCCAGCAGCTGCACTCTACTGCTGCTCCCACAACTGCTGGCGCCACCGCCTTCACTTCTTGCCAGCAGCTGCACTCTACTGCTGGTCCCGCAACTGCTGGCACCACCAACGTCACTTCTGGCCAGCAGCTGCACTCTACTGCTGCTCCCGCAACTGCTGGCGCCACCAACTTCGCTACTGGCCAGCAGCTGCACTCTACTGCTGCTCCCGCAACTGCTGGCGCCACCAACTTCACTTCTGGCCAGCAGCTGCACTCTACTGCTGCTCCCGCAACTGCTGGCGCCACCAACTTCACTTCTGGCCAGCAGCTGCACTCTACTGCTGCTCCCGCAACTGCTGGCACCACCGCCTTCGCTTCTGGCCAGCAGCTGCACTCTACTGCTGCTCCCGCAACTGCTGGCGCCACCGCCTTTGCTTCTGGCCAGCAGCTGCACTCTACTGCTGCTCCCGCAACTGCTGGCGCCACCGCCTTCACTTCTGGCCAGCAGCTGCACTCTACTGCTGCTCCCGCAACTGCCGGCGCCACCGCCTTCACTTCTGGCCATCAGCTGCACTCTACTGCTGCTCCCGCAACTGCTGGCGCCACCGCCTTCACTTCTGGCCAGCGGCTGCACTCTACTGCTGCTCCCGCAACTGCTGGCGCCACCGCCTTCACTTCTGGCCAGCGGCTGCACTCTACTGCTGCTCCCGCAACTGCTTGCGCCACCGCCTTCACTTCTGGCCAGCAGCTGCACTCTACTGCTGCTCCCGCAACTGCTGGCGCCACCAACTTCGCTACTGGCCAGCGGCTGCCTACCCCAGTTGCTCCTCAAAATGACAGCCTCCCCTACTCAGGATTTGCCAGCCCTTCACAGCAGGTCTTCGTGCAATGTGACGTAGATTCCGAATCTGAGGAGTACGGAGAGGGTGCCGACGAATTCGACGAGATCTTCAACAACGTGACAGCAGGAACTGCATCTCCGGCTGTTGCTGCCAGCGGGTCTGCTGCGGCATTCACCCATGCTGGGGTGGCACGTACGCCTGAGGGGATTAACAACGCTACAGTGCTTGCTGCAGGTGATCTCATCTCGCGGGCAGAGTCTGAGGCGCTGTCGGCCCAATTCCGGAAGGTGGAGCGCGAAAACGTGGCTCTAAGCAACCAAGTCAACTACCTCCGCCGCTTAAACCAGTCAGTTTTTGCCCGATCTGGTAGCCCCGCAGGTGATGAGACCACGCCCAACGAAGGAGCATCAGCCGGAGCATTGGCTATGGATCCTGAAATTGTGCCGCAGGTCTACTTGTCTTCACGCCTGGCCGTTGGTCGCGCCATCGCCAATGCGTACCAGAACGGCGGCATTGTGTGCGGTGACAACGTGGCGCCCGAGTACGAGTCATTTGCGGCTCAGCTTGCTGACGCTATGAAGAAGGTTCCGCCTCACAAAGGTGGACTTACTGTAAGCGTGATGTTAATGTGCCATTGAAACTTGACTTGATTCAAGTTTTCAGCAAACCCTTAACCCCAGTCATTGAATCTTGCCTTGATAAATGTTTCCAGCAAACCTTCATCCCTTGTCATTGAAACTTGCCTTGATTTGAGTTAACCCGAACCTTAAACCCCAGTCATTGAAATTTCCCTTGTTTCTATACTGCTCAAACCCTGAACCCTTGTCTATGTAGTACGTAATCTACTACCATGCACCCTATATCGCAGATTGTGATAAAAAAAACCGTGGACATCCTCATGTTCCAAACCCCGAACGACCGAGTCGACTATTGGCCGCCCCGAAGTAGTCTTCTCGGGGCTATGGAAGTTGCATTGGAGTACACCACGCAACAGCAGAAGTGGAATCTGATCCACGTCTACGAGTTCGATCTCGTTCGGCGCGGTTACATCCGAGACCAGCTCCAAGAGTTTCGAAACGACTGCTTGACGACTGGACGCTGTTCGGTCATTAATGCGTTCGATTTATGCATTTCTCGACCGGACAAGCAACGGGCGGTGATGGGAACCGAAGACGTCACCAAGTTTCTGACAAAGTACAAGCCGGGTGAGTGGTAATTGAGATCTATGATACCCATCGCATTTTCACTCACAGCCATCTAGAACCCCCCCCCCCCTTTTCTTGGCCTCCCCTCTCCCCTGATCTGTTGCCTTTTGCCCCCCATACACCTTTCACTGGCTTCCACTTTCACTCGTTTGAAACCATTTGACTTTCCATCACAGCAACTGCGTATCTGCCTTCCTTGACCTCCCCTCTCCCTCATTCTCCCTCATTCCCTCCCATTTTTTCTGCCTTTTTGCTGTTCCCAAAACAGCAGCCCCGTAGTCGCCTTCTCTGTTCACCCCTCTCCCCCCTTGCGCTCTCCTCTGCTTTTCTCTCACAGCAACACCGTTACTGCCATCCTTGTCCTCCCATCTCCCCATGTTTGCTACCCTTTGGCTTTACATCATATGAGCCCTAATCCCCACCTTACCCCCCCTCTCTTCCCAGGGCTGCTGCCCATAGCCTTTCCCTCTCAAAAACACTCAAACCACCTTCCCTGACCTCCATTCGGCCCTGTTCTGCTGCCTTTGGCGTTTGTATCACAACAACCCCGTACCCAACTTCAGTGTCCTGCCCTCCCACCGGTTTTTCTGCCTTTTATACTCTCTCACAGGAATTCCGTTCTTGTGTTCCAATAGGTGCTCTCCTTTGCCTTTCCCTGGCAGCAACATCATTACCACGATTATTGTCTTCCCATATTCCCCTTTTGGCTACCCTTTGCCTTCCATGGCCTCCACCACTCTCCTCACTTTGGCTGCCGTTTGCATTTCCATCACATCAACCTTGCTCCCCCTTCCACTGTCCTCCCCTCTCCTCCAGGTTGCTGTCCTTAGCATTTCCCTCACAGGAACCCTGTCCTCACCTTACCCCATCTTCCCTTCTCCCTTGTTTTGCTGCCCTTAGCCTTTCCCTCACAGGAACCGTGCTTACCCCCTCTTCTCTTCTCCCCTGTTCTGCTGCCCTTATCCTTTCCCTCACAGGAACCCTGTCCTCACCTTACCCCCTCTTCCCTTCTCCCCTGTTCTGCTGCCCTTATCCTTTCCCTCACAGGAACCCTGTCCTCACCTTACCCCCTCTTCCCTTCTCCCCTGTTCTGCTGCCCTTAGCCTTTCCCTCACATGAACCCTGTCCTCACCTTACCCCCTCTTTCCTCACAGCAACCTCTGCCTTCCCTGTCCTCCCATCTCCCAGGTTCTGCTGCCCTATGCTTTTCCTTCACAGAAACCTCGTTCTCGCCATCCCTGGTCTGCACTCTCCCCATATTTGCTGTCGTTTGCCTTTCCCTCGTAGAAACCCCGTACCCCCTTTCCCTGTCCTCCCCTCTCTGCCAATCTGCTGCCCTTAGCCCTTGTTCCACAGGAACCCCCATACCGCCTTCCCCGACCTCCACTCGGCCCCGTCCTGCTGCCCTATCCCTCCTTAGCTCACACGCATTATGTTGGTGTTATCACATGCCAGTTTGTTTGTTCTAATGCCCATGCACAGTCCCAGGTTCTTTTGGACTTCGAATCTGGCACATGAACACGCTTGGTGTCCCTTTTGCAAGTCCTGTCTTTCTCTCTGGCATCGCCAAGTCTTTCAAGCGCGATGGGCACAACGTCGTTCTGCTCCTCTTGATGCACATCGCATTCTGGTTGTGCGGGGTGAGAGCATTTTGTCACAGATTTTAATGCTCAAGGGTAGTTGCGATGATTCAAAACTAAACCATATTCATGTTTTCGTTGCAGGTTGAAAGGAAGCTTGAAGGAAAAGACATGTCCCAGAGCCCTAAAGAAAACCGCACATTTGTTATGGATTATTATGTCAAGGTGCGGGAATGGGTGCGTGCAATCCTTGCAATAAGGAACGACACCCGAGGACCTTGGTGGGACAACAATCATCATGCGTGGAAGTTTGCAGGTGGACAGTCACATGTTTTTATCAGCAACGATGGTGTGGACAATGACTAGTTTAGCGTAAAAAAAACACTCGGCTCGTAACCTTTGAACGAAACTGGTAGTGGTTTTAGTCTTGTATCTGGTTTTGGTTTTAATAGATAGTTGATTTAGTTTATAGGTTATAATAACAAATTGTAGTACTGTAATGGGAATTATTATATTAGGCATCATATTCATATGTGCTTTATACAATCTATTATAGAATATAGATTACTATTTGTGATTGGAATATGAATGCATAATTGCGCATTAAAGAGATATTAATATACGTCAAGTGCGCATTTGTTACTTGTACCGCGTTACGGGGTAAGACTATTCTTCCTAATGTATCACTGTATCGATTCGTTTTTTCCGACACCCTGTATCGAGTCGTAACATGTATCGTAACTGAGAAACAGAGCAGTTCTCTCCGCTTTCTGTAGACCTCACTTTCGATTTCGTTATTGTTTTTCGGCCAATTAGAATGGCGTGCGACTGCTGGTAAGGTCGATCAAATGTGAACAGGTGGAAGACACGTGTCATAATGGATTTTGCTCAAGTTCATAGCTACGATAGAGTAGCTTCGAGAATCTGGCGATGTGCAGCCCAGATTCGACTTCAATCTCCAGTCTTGAAAGAAACCAAACAGAGCTACTCTCAAGTAGCTTCATTCTCTTCATGATGAGCGGCTTTGATTCGTCGCGAATTATTGTCTGTTGAAAATCGAGCCCAACAGCAACTTCAACGTAACCTTGCCAGCAACCCCAAGGCAGCCCACACCAAACCAACCATAGAGCTACCCCAAAGTAGCTTCGCTGCAGCTTTTGGAAGCCCATTTTTTTGCGATGTCGCTCCATGTTACCCTGTGCTGCTCGATGTTACCACATGTTAACTTGCGCTACTCCATGTTACCCTACACCAGGTGGCGCACGGAAGCAGCTGCAACTGGCGTACACCAGCACCTGGCGGGCTGTTCCAGCACTTGGCAGGCTGCTCCTGCACCTGGCGGGCTGCTCTTGCACCTGGCGGGCTGCTCTTGCACCTGGCGGGCTGCTCTTGCACCTGGCGGGCTGCTCTTGCACCTGGCGGGCTGCTCTTGCACCTGGCGGGCTGCTCTTGCACCTGGCGGGCTGCTCCTGCACCTAGCGGGCTGCTCCTGCACCTGGCGGACAGCAGCACCCGACAGGCGGCAGCAGCAGCACCTTGCTGCTTGCAGCTCCCCTGACGCCCTGTAACAGCTCCCCCTGACGCCTTGCTGCGTCAGCACCTGACGGCCTCCAACAACGAGGCTGGATCTCCTGCAGAACCAGAACGTCTTGGTACGATTCTGTAGTTCCAGCACGTGTGCATCAGCAGTAACTTGCCTTTTTTTCTTTGATCAGTAACCACTCGTGACTGTGATCCCCACTCACACCATTGCTGTTGTGTGTGACTCCCCCTAAAACCTGCAAGTACTTTGCATCATCCAGTACTTTGGCGAATGAAGTCAGCAGCTGCGACCTTCTAGCAGAAAAGCTCTCGGTTGCGGCTGCTTCCCATGCCTTGTGTATTCATTGCAGTAGGTCTCATCCTGATACTGGTCTTCGTGTGTAACCTGAAGAATGAAAATGAAAAATGAACTCCCAATTCTTTGTTGTAGCCCAAGGTACTCCACACCCCACTCCCCCTCTCACTCGTGGGTTTGTCGTCATGGATACGTGTGAGCTCGCACACAGCACCAAACACGCGAGTGAGATATGTGGAGCTAAGTGGTGCGCTATTTTCTAGCACTCTTGGAGAGGTGCATACATGTGAGTGCAGATTCAGTGCCTTCAATCTGCGGACTGGTTGAAGACGGTGCTCCAGGTGGAATCGGGTGGAGACCACACAAGAGGATGCATGTGAGATGATGCTTTGATAGACTTGGTGAGATAATCTGCAGCTTGCTGAGCTATTGGGCAGTACTCCGGCCGCATAACACCATCATGAACAGCCTTCCGCATCCAATGGTAACGCACTTCCATATGCTTAATGCGTTGACTCATTTGCTCCCCGGTTGCAAGTGCAATTGCACTTTGATTGTACACAAAGATGACAGTTGGTTTTTGTTGTGGAAAACCGAGGTCTTCACACAAGCGCCGAAGGTAGGTAGCTTCTCTTGCCCCTTTGAAAACTGCAGTGTATTCTGCTTTAGCTGTTGATGTTGCAATGACTATTTGTCGTTTAGTTCTCCAATTGACAGCAGCTCCTCCCAAGGTAGACACATAGTCTTCAACCGAGTGGCACCCCACTTCGTTTGCATAGTCTGAGTATGTGTATCCTCGGAGCACCAAGTCGCTTCCTCCATAGACCAGCCCCACGTCCGCTGTATTCTGTAAGTACTTGAACACCCTTTGGATTCCAAGCACTGTTGCTCCTATTGGCTGCTTGCTTAACTGGCCAGCACATGCGTTGCATATGTTATGTCTGGCCTCCCTGCTGTCGAGATGTAAAACAATAAACAGCAATCAGCACCAGTTGACTGTCAATCTTGTGTGGTGGTTCTCCTTGTGGTCCAGGTTCCTTCGTGATTGGCGTTCGGACTCCGGATCGGCTGCCTTCCATCCCGAAGTTCGCCAAAGCCTATGAGATGTACTTTGTGAGTCTGAGTGAGATCTGGTCGGTTTCAGCAGTGACATTAAGGCCCAAAAACTGCGTCATGGTCTTGTTGACAATTAAGGTGAAGTTCCGCTTCAAGTATTGAATCACACAGCTTCAACGCCTTCTTCGTCACGAGACTAGATGAGGATCTCATCAACATACGTAAGCAACCACACCGTATCTTTGCCTTCTCTTTTCCAGATGAATAGGGATGGGTCAGGTTCTAACTGCTCCATGTTCAGCTCCAATAGCACTCTAGGTAAGTGCCGATGTCACAGTCGTGGTGCTTGCTTAAACCCATACACGCTGCGATAAAGTTTTCAGACCTTGTCACCATCACACCAAGGTTCAGGAGGTCGCACGTACACGTCCCTGTCAATTGGTGCGCAATGGAATGCGTTGGAAATGTCTAGTTGCACCACCTTCCGCTTCGTGGCCAACGCGCCAGCAACAGACCTGCGCGAGGTAGGTCCTTGGTTGACAGAGGAGTATGTCTCATTGTATATTCCCCATGTCTGTCCACATCCTTTCACCACCCAACGTGCCTTGAATCGGTTCGGTTGGCCATGCTCATCTTATTTCACCCTTAAAACTACTCCTTTTATCAACACTGGTGTTCCCTTCGGCACGTCCACCCTGTCCACTGTGAAAGAAAAAACGAGAATGAATCAACTATGAATGAAGTGAGTACAAATATGAAACCCTAATTGGGTTGTACCCCCTTTGGGATACCCCACTATAGCCTACACAATAGCATAAGCTAAAATGTTTTGACACACCCCCATAGGCAAAGTGGGGGAGAACAAGGGGTCATAAGACCAGTCAAGCAAAACAAAGCAAAGCTCAGGGTGGATCACAAAGTCACCACACATTCCGAGCACAA